CCTTTTGCATAGATAAAGGAATAATTACTCTTCCTCCTTTGAAAAATAAATCATTTTCCATTGTCAACTCATCTCTGTAGTCCCAAAATACTTTGACTTGAGGCTCTACCTGATGTTTCCTTTCTGGCCAGCCTCTCAGAATATATTTCTTTAAGCACTGTAGTGTAGCATCACATTCACTTTCTTTCTTTAATTCATAAATTTTGTCATCAGATGCTGGAATCAGTGTACGAATTTCTGTATCTTCATCATTATCTTCTTCTGTTGTATTCAAATATGCTCTACTTAAAGTGTCTGCTATTAATAAGTCTTTCCCCTTTTTGTATCAAACATCTAGATCATATTTTTGTAAATTTAACAGCATTCTTTGCAATCGCTGTGGTGCTTTAAAAAGATTTTTCTTAGTTATGCTTTCTAATGGTCGATGATCAGTTTCAACTGTAATACATTTGCCATATATATATTGATGAAATTTAGAACATCCAAAAGTAATAGCTAAAAGCTCTTTTTCGATCTGAGCATAATTTTTCTGACTTTTTGTTAGAGCTCTGGAAGCATAAGCAATTGGTTGGTTTTCTTGTAGTAAAACAGCACCTAATCCTTCAGAACTTGCATCTACTGAAAGAGATCATCCTTATTAACATCATAGAATTTTAATACGGATGATTTTGCAATCAATTCTTTAAGTGTTTCCAAAGCTTTTTGATGCTTTTCAGTCCAGTGCCAGAGAACATTTTTCTCAAGTAACTGTCTTAATGGTGCAGTAATAGTAGTTAAGTTAGGAATAAATTTGGCTAAATAATTAATCATTCCCAAAAATCTTTGTAGCAAAGGCACATCTGTAGGTTCTGGCATTTTAACAATTGCTTCCACTTTAGAAAAATCAGGTTTTAGTCCATTTTCACTTAACTCATGCCCTATATAATTCACACGATTAACTTTTATTTTACATTTAGCCTTATTGAACTTCAAATTATTTTCTCGTGCTCTCTGGAGTACTTTTTTAAGTCGTAGCTCATGTTCCTTTTCATTAGATCCCATATTAAGATATCATCTATAATACATTCAACGCCTTCTAGACCTTCTATTATTTGGCTTAATTTTCTTTGGCAAATTTCTGGAGCTGAACATATGCCAAAAGGTAATCTTTTAAATTTGTATCTGCCAAAAGGTGTATTGAATGTACACAAATTACTACTTTCTTCGTCAAGCTGGATTTGCCAAAAAGCACTATTAGCATCTAAAACAGAAAATATTTTTGCGTTAGGCATTCTAGTGACAACTTTGTCAATGGTTAACATTGGATAATGTTCTCGTTTTATAGCTTTATTTAAATCTCTAGGATCTAAACATATTCGTATTTTGTTCGATTTGACAACTGTGACCATTGAATTTACCCATTCAGTTGGTTCTCTTACTTTCTCAATAACATTTAAATTTTCCATTCTTTGTAATTCTTTCTTTAACTTTATCCCGTATAGCTATGGGTATTTTTCTTGGAGGATGAATTACTGGTGTTGCATCTTGTTTTAACTGGATTTTATATTCTCCATTCAAACAACCTAAGCCTTCAAATACATCTTTGTATTCCTCCAGTAAGTCTTCAGTGTAAACAGACATTACTTTTTGAATCAAACCTAGTTGCAAACATGATTTTAATCCTAATATAGAAGGTACTTCTTTGTCAATAACTTGGAATTCCACAACATAATTATTTTTTCCATATTGGCAGTTAAGTACTACTTTTCCTAAAGTATCCATTTTATTCCCAGAGAATGTAACTAATCTTTTAATTTCAGACTTCTGTATCGGAAACATTTAGCAAATTTCACGTTGTTTTTAGAAATAACATTGCACATTGCTCCAGTATCTAACTGCAAATTTAGTTTACTTTTATTTACATTAACGTCAACAGTCCATTTTCTCTTCCTTGTTATCTGAAATTAAGGTTTAATGTGCCAACATAAAATTCTAACTCTTCCTCAGAGTCATGATTTATTAATTTAATTTGTCTATCTTTTTTGGTTTACCTTGACTGCTTCATTTTTATTATATAGCTTTTACAATGATTCGCAAAATGATTTGCCTTTTTACATTTATGACAGATTTTTCCATATGCTGGACACATTTCGATACTCATGAGATGTTCCACATTTATAGAACAAACTTTTGTCTTTTGTTTATCGGTATTTACCTCTTTGTAGGTATTCTTATTATGTTTACTTAGTTTCTTTTTCACTAAGTTTACAGCAGTTTCCTCATCTTTTATGATTTTCATTTGATGTGCACTTATTTCAGCAGATCTGCATATATGAAGAGCTTTTTCTAATGTTAATTCTGTTTCATGTAACAATCTTGCTCTCACTACATCATCTTTAATACCCCAAACAATTTTATCCTTTATTAAACTGTCTGTTAACTGTGCAAACTCGCATGTTCTTGCTTTATTTCGAAAGTCAGTTACGTATTCATCTATGATTTCTGACGCAGTTTGATTTCTAGTAAAGAATAAATGTCTTTCATATGTAATATTTTTCTTAGGAATACAATATTCCGTAAATTTTGTTTTAATTTCACTTAATTTAATTGCCTTACCCTCTTCTATAGGAAATGTATTATATATTTCAAGACCACGAATTCCTATTACATGAAGAAAAGTATTAACTCTTACCTTCTCTTCTTTATTATGTAATCCACTAGCTACTTCATATATTTCAAATGATTGCAGCCATCTCTGCCAATTCGAAGCTAGATTTCCATCAAATTTCATTACATTGGCTCTGGTGGTTTTAAACTTTTTTTTCCATTTTGAAAGCAAAATACTCCTGACACCATATAAAATTAATGAGGGTGCACTTTTAGCTTTTAGAAACTATTTATTTACAATCTTAGAATGTATAATCACAGAGAACCTGCAATACCAGCATAGTTCTATTTGCAAATGCGTATCCAAAGTGTTGCCAATTACAAGTTACTAAATATTAAATGTTACCATTTACAAATTATTAAATATTACATCTAGTGTTAGACATCTGTATAAAGTATTCAAAGTTAACTCTTATTTAAATTTAGTTAGTTAGTAGATTTATATTTTTTAAGTTCAGAACCACAAGTAGTTTGTTTTTGTATCCCGAAGTGCAGGAGCAGCAGTAATATCGTGGAGAATAAAGGGTAATTAAACCAGGGCTGTGGAGTTGGAATCGGACAAATTTTGGGGTAAAAGGAGTCGGAGCTGTAGTCGCTAAAAACAGATCGACTCCAACTCCAGTTTTTGTTGGAGAGTTTGAATTTAAAATGAATTGGAAAAAAAATTAATGACAAGCTGAGTTATTTTTATTTATGAACTATATACATTAATAAATGGCTATTTTCTATTTTATTGACATATTAATAAATAAATATAAGGGAGGAGGATGGATGTGATATTTGCCATTAGTGGTTAACTGATTCATTTAGTTACAAATCTCACTGGTAAATTTAGGTAAGCAGCAATACGTGCAATAAGGAAATACATATTTGATGATAAAGAGGTTTTTAGAAATAAGAACTTTTTTAGAAGATGTAGATAACCCTAATGTTTGACTAACAGAAAGACTGTGGAATGATCTTGCAGAATTGGAAACTCTTCTTTCTACACCGTATAGAGCAACAAAAAAGCTGCAATCTGAAGAATTGACAAGAGGCGAGAATGAAAGAATGTGATGGTTGTTCTTTCTGAAATGGAGGGCTTATTGCAGGAGGAATCATTTCTTCAATGAAGAAAAGAGAAACTAGTTTGCTAGACAATGAGATCTTGCTGAGTTCAATATCTGTAGATCCAAAACACCGAATTTTCTTGGATGACAAAACAAATTAAAAAGGCAAAGAAAGCAATCTATGAACTTTCATTAAGAATGAAATTATTCTCAGAACAATTGGAGAATTTGAATCAGGACAGTCAAACTGCAGACATTGTAACTGAGTCTCTATCATCCTCTTTAAGTGATGAATTAGATTTTGAGAAATAGTTTTAGATAATATTGAAAAGGCTAAGGCAAAGCGAATGAAAATAAAGAACCAAGAACCTTTAGATATAAAAATGAAAAAACGCAAACAAGATTTCTACATGGCCTTTGAAGAAATATTGAAATATGATTGCGTTTGCATCACATCTCTTTTAGAACTTATAAAAATCTATCCTGAGAAGTTAACAGAAGTACTCGTAACAGCTCTTTCTCCTACTCCAGTTTGTATGGAAAGACTCTTCTCAGCTCTTATGAAATCGGATCTATGGCCCTCCAACAAAGAAGATCTTGCCAAAGCTAAACTCTTTCTTAGAAATAACTAATGCCAGTTTTTCCATTTCATGATAAATGCTAATTAATATAAATAATTTGCTATGCCATCAATTTTTTTTTTTTCTGTAGCATCTATTACTTCTTTTACATTAAAAAAATAAGCTGTAACCCAAGCGTATATGTTTACGTGTATATATATATACATACACTCTGTAAAACATATTCAGACTCACTGTCTCGCCAGGACACACGTTTGCCAAGCAGATAAGGAGGAATAGCAGACCTGATAAATTTACATAATTGAATACATTATACATTCAGAGAGATAACCACAATTCTTAACATCTGAGAATTCCACATGTTTCAGGAGAAATAATTAGTGTCATATGCATTCAGTCTGAGATTCATGGTCTTTGGTTTTGCTTATGTAAAATTTTATAATATTCATCAATACAGAATTTTATTTTAAAATATCTACATTGTACAAATAAACTATAAAAACAGGATTTATTTCTACATTTACGCATTAAATATGTTTTGTAAATGCATAATGACACTCTGGTTGATAAAAATCTACAGTATAAATTTTTCAACAGTGTACATGTCATATTAACTACAGCCTTTTTTTATTTTTTAACAAAAAAGCCAATAATTATTTAAAGAACAACATTAACCTTGAAAATATATCTGAAAGGAAATTATAACATTTCAGAAGTATCTAACCTGGTTTCGGAACATCCTGCAGCAAAGCTGGGAAATCATTGGGAAAAACAAACGTGCTTTCATAACAGGGATTAATCTAAGAATAATAAATACATACATAAGCATAAACTAAAATTTAAAAGAATAATATCAAATATACAAAACTTACAAGTATTTTAATTTAAACTCAGTTCCCCTTGTTAATATGGTTCCCCTTGTTAAATTTTATGCAAATTAGGATTGATATTTGGTTATGGTCATTTCATAGCTCTATGAAATGATATTTAAGATTTACTTCAAATTGCTTAACACAGCTATTTCTAACTCTGTTATGCAGACTTTCAAAAATTTGACTATACTCTAGATTCTACATTTGAATATTTGAATGAGTATTTGAGGAAGGAAACACCAATCAACTTTTGTCAATTACCAAATATTCACTGAATATTTATAAACTTAGTGATTAAATCTGAACATCTTTCTTCCTAATGATGGAGCACATGTTCACATTTATAGTTCTTCTAATAGGCTATGATTCAATCTTATATCAAGCAATTTTTTACATCATTTGCTATTCATACAGGATAACCAAGTAAGAGACTTTTGGTTTCTAGGTAAGATTTGCAGATACATATGCATAAATTACTTGTATCCAATATCTAGGTAAGTACCATTCGCTTCCCCCAAAAAATCACATCAATTAAAAATAAAACCTTCATCATAGCATCAAAAAATATTTTTCTATATATAACAAGAAACAAGCCAAACATATCTTTAGGACAATAAAAGCATAAAAAACAAAGAACAAAAAAAATAAAATATTGTAATTCTTAAAAGGCCCATCTATACGAAGCGATTTTCTCGGCCGACTTTCTCGTAGAGAGACAATTTTAAGGATTTGCTCATGCGCCAAAAATCGATCATGTTTTCTGCCGTGATTTTCAGAACTGGTATTCACTGCTCACTAGCGTACGATAAAATCGGAGTCTCTAGCCAATAAGATTGCTTTGAGTGATCATGTGCTTTTCTCCTCATTTGGAATAATAAACATGGCTGCACTTTTCAACTAATAGATTTCTATAGAGAGAATGTTGTGTTGTGGGATATGAGTAATGTAAATTTTAAAAATAAAAAATTAAGGAATTCTCTTATTTTGGTAAGATTTGTCTTTCCCATTACTTTATATATTCAAGTATTTTCTATTCAGGGTGGAAATTATTTTAACTTCCCCAAGAAAGGTTCCAAAAACTATTGATGATGCCATATCATGGGTACTAGATGAAAATATTCAGAAACTTCTTGAAATTGTGGTCACACTTATTGAAAAATTCAGAAAGCAAAATCTTCAGTCGAGAATAAAGCCGAAAATGGGAGTTAATCAGGTGACGAAGTACATAGCTTTTCCGAAACCTCCTACACGAGCGATCATAGCCCAGTGTTAAAGAGCAGAGCAGGTTTTCTTTGTACATTGGGATCGTGGGTTCGATCCACCACCTTCGTTTTGGACTTTCTGTGCCTGCAAGGACCTTTTTAATTTTGTTTCTCTATCACTAAATTCAAACTGCATGACTTAAAAGTCACTTTTTAGTTTTTCGCCTACGGGTGTGGTATTTATTGAATTTTAATGCCTTTCTTTTTATTTTCTGAATGGCCGTTGGCACGTGTTTTAGATCTACTGATGAAAACTTTAGTAGTTGCGTAGCAGCTCAAAAGAAAGTTACAAGTCATAAACTCAGTTTGAGTTTTACGAAAACAAATTACAGCCTAATTTAATACAATATTGCTAAATTTTATTAGCTCATTAACTGATAGAGTCACATGATCATAGTTTTTAGACTGTATTAGTTATTTAACTATGCTGATATTAGTTTTTTAATGTTCAATAAATATACTACTTAAGACTTTGCACCTTTATGATATTTCTTATTTGAATTTTTTGCACTGAAATTACACTGTTGCTTTGTAATATAGTAATCTTTATTCTTTATTACTACTCGTACTAGTTTGATATTCATGACAGTATTGTCTATTTATTCATTAATAAAGGTTTTGATTTAAAGCACAGTAGTTACTTATTTTTTTCTGAAACATGGTTATGTTATTATTTCAAGATTTAAGTGCACAAATACGAGTGCCAGAAAATGAAATTTAAAAATAAATAAATAAAATAAAAAAATAAGTAATCTGTGTACTCAGTACACAAAGGAAAAGCGTATTTTTTTAAAAATTTTTGCTGCAAACTAAATTTAGCAAAAAATCAAAATCATGCAGTAGCATCCATAAATATTTTCCGAATTGTACCGCGACTTCAATACGCAACTCCCAGAGCAGGATTTTAAGAAGGCACCATGGTAAATTATTACGAAGGCACCATGAATTTCTCGTTGTTTGACCCAATTTCTGGTCCAAACGCATTCCCCCCCCTCTTCTGTAGCAGTAAGCTAAGTTCAAAATTGTAGCTGTATCTAGTAACAATTTAAAGTAAATTAGTCATCCATTATTTTGACTATTTGACAACACCGTAAGCTTTTTTTTGCAAATCGTAGACAGTGTGACGCTGTAGAGGGTGGGAACACTTCCTTTCACAATGATTGGCTGAGTGAATTCCTGCACTAAAGAGAAAATTGTTCCATGTGGACAGACAAGCTATATCAGATATTGTCGGCCAGCTAAGTCGGCCGAGAAAATCACTACGTTTAGACGGGTCTTTAAACGTAAGTTGGTGAGAAATTGCCAAATGTCACAAACTTGGATGCAAATATTTATGGTAACAGTCAAAAATCTCACAGAGAAAATAATGTAAGGGAAAGCATACTGAATATCATACAGAACATCATTTAAAAAAAGATAGAGGGAGAAAACATTACAGTTCTAAAATATCATGTTAGAAAATAAAGCAGTATAAAACTTTGCAATTTTTAAAACATCCCCCCCCCAATGGTGGGCGCTTACATATAACAGCATTGGCCACTTCTAAGGCCAGAAGTGGTGGCCATTTTATTGTGGAGACACGTAATAAGTGGCCACCATTACTTCCTATGCAGAGACAGACAATTTTACATCCATGCCTTCTCTGGGATTCAAACTGGGCCCTTTGGTCTTGCTATTTCAATAAATTAGTTAATACAAATATATGAAATACAGAGATAAAACTATTACTTAGTATTTCTTCTTGAGCTCGCAGATCATTATATCAAAATTCATAATTTTTTTTTAATTAGAAAACATATTTAAGCAGTGTTATTTGTAGATGTATTATTTTTTACAAGGACATTTTGCAAGACCATGTTTTAAAACTGAGAAGTTTTGCGCAACCTTGTTTTCAACCACAGTGTTTTGTACAACTGCATTTTCTCCTCGCATTGTTTTCTCTGTGTTTTTGCTGTATCTGTAACCATCATTTATTGCCTAGGTAAAGTAATTTCAATCAACTTTCCTTAAGCAACCTTCAAAATCCCAGGGTCTACTTATACAGAATTTTAACTGCTATCATATAACAAAAGAATAAACACATGAAAATAAGTAATGAATGCCAATCAATTAAAAACTACAAAAAATACATCATAAATTAATACAAAATTATGAAAACTAATGTGTAAAGTAATAAATAAATAATAATAAAAATTAAACAAAAACCTATATAAAACTGAATATAAACAGATAAATATAAATTTTTACATAATAAATAACAATGGAAAACATACCACTAACAAAAGCACACAGTACCATAAAACTACACTGTTACTGCAGTTACAAAATTAAAAGCATACAAAAGGAAACTAATAGTTATAATCAATGAATTAAAAATTTTATAAATTTTCTTTGTTTAAAACTGCAACTAGAAAATTAGTTATGTGATAGTTTTAAAAAGAACAAATCTCGGATTTACAATCAGGAGTGAAATTCAGAAGCTCAAAAGGATGTACGCCTTCTGTAAATGGACAGCCAGTCAACAAAATATGCACAAAAATGTGGTAGCCTATTTATATATCTCATCACAAACAGTATTTACTATTTAATGCCAAACTTGTGCATGGTGTCAAGGTGTGTGAAATTCTCTGTTTTTTCTTAAGCAAAAACAGATCACTGTGTACATGTGAAGAACCAGTAGTTCCATTCTACCCATGTATACCGTGATCTATTTTGCTTTAAAAAAAAAAAAAAAAAAAAAAAAAAAAAAAAAAAAAAAGAACTGCAAAAATCAGGCATTATATATATTATATTCAATATATGCAATAATACTACTACAATATTACTATCATTATATATAAAACAGTTATTCTTTTCATAAAGCTTTATTCATCATTATGGTTACTATCATATTATATAAATCAGTCATTCTTTTCAAGCTTTATTCATCATTAGATTCACGCCATGGCAACACAGTCTGGCACTAAATGGTGCCCTGTTAACAGAAAAGTATCCTAAAATGCCACTTATCTTTATGAAGTCCTGTAAATATGTATATGATTGTATTTAATTTAAGTATGTAAATGGGCTGGGGCTAAGCATTTTGCCAGCTGGCACAATATCTGCGGGTCTTAAATTTGGCTGTCTATTTTCTAAAAATTTATCACCATTAAATTCTGCTGTCCAAAGTTTCCTATAAACTCTAAAAATTTTGCCATCCCTAAATTCTGCTGCTTGGTATTTCTATAAATTCTAAAAATTTTTCTGCCTCTGAATTCTGCCATTTGGTGAGGTCACATCAGCTCTAATGCTTATCCTGGGTGGAATTATGAGTTATTATTATAGCAAACAACATGAGGGCTGTGTGCCTAGTAAAATCCAAATTTTGAATACAGTGATATATAGATAATAATGAACACAAAATGTATACAGTCACCTCTCCATTAGCTCTTGTAGCTCCAGGACAAAGTGGATTATTCAAATCATGAGGCAAAATCTCATTTTCAGGTAACTTCTCTATTTGCCCTTTCCATGGTCTTTTAGCTCTATGAGGTGAAACTAACACCCATCTGTTACTTAATGGATTGTATCTCACATGTTGATGTTCTAGAGAAATATTAAAATATGTATTTACACTATTTTGTGTTCTCTTATATAAAATTTCATTTAAAATAGTAAGTATTATTGAAACATTCCTATAAATATAAACTGAACACGGAAAACAAAAAATAATTTAAAATGATTCTATAACAATTATTCAACCTATTAGCATTTTCATCTTAAATTTTATTTGCATTTTCTCACCAATAAATCATGAAAGAGAATAACATATATCACCTATTTAATTTTTATATACATGCCAATATACAATATTAGATCAAGTTTTCTAATAAAGAATATTAATAACTAATGATTAAGATAATGAAATGCTTATGAATATTCTTTCACAGCATTCTGCAAATTGTAAGGAATAATGCAGCCTTGCTACCTATGGAAATAATCTAAAATTAAGCTTGGTCACATTACTCTGCAAAATCTTAAATTCATTTTTGAGAAATGAATTTTCTGTTAGCCAATGTTTACCACATTCATTTTCCATGTAGCAAGTACATATCAGTTAATGAATAAAACTTTCTAATCTTATTATTCAAAATGCAACACTTAAAAGTTTAACCATATTACACTCATATCATCATTATGTTAAAGTTATACAGTCAAATACCGAAAATCCGCCGACCTGAAATCCGCTTTGCCTCTCAAAATATAAACATTCAGTTTATAGGTTCTGAAAACCGCAACATTGAGTACGAAATATTGAAGAACAAATACTCACCGAATAATGACATCATAATTACCGAATAATAATGAGTCATAATGGAAATACCAAATTATTGACATAACGATAAAAGTTTTTTTCCCCCTCTAATCTGCATCGATATAAGAAAGCAGACAATTCACTCAACTTTTCTTTCAAGTTCACGATTCACGCTGTTGTATTTTTTTTAGCTTTGTTATTTCTCAAGATTATTTAGTGCTGCCCTTTTTATCCACATATTTTGTGGATAAATTAAGAATATTTTAAATTTCAGCCCTTTTTAATACAATTACAGAAAAGAAACGCACTCATTTTACTGCTTGCAATGTTGAAAAACGTAAACACGTTACACTGACAGTAATGCAAAAAGCGGAAATTCTGCAAAAGATGGAGACAGGTGCATTTTATGGCAGAATCGTATGGAATTGCGATATGATTGTGTATGATATACGGAAAAATAAAAGAAAAGCTGTTGAAATATTACAGCAACAGTGATTCTAACACCGAAATCCGACACCGGAAATCTTTGCATGAGGCGAAATCTGCAAACCTCGATACTGTGTATATATAATACAATGAATAGTATAATCAATTTATATGTGTAATTATAATTTAATGCATATAATAAGTTATTGAAATAATGTATATAATAATTTTATTAAATGTATCTAATACGCCTTATTTATTTTTCACTTTTAGTCTGAATATTACGATTTATCTTTTCTGTCCCAAAATCCGCAAAATCCTAAAATCTGCACAACCTCTGGTCCCAAGCTTTGTGGATTTCTAGACTTCTACTGTATAATCATAACTTTACATTTAGATAAATGATTTACAATTTAAGTTAATTAATAATCTAATGCACTCATACTAATTACGTTTAAACAGAAATAAAATTAATAAAGGATTTCACAAAAAAAATCTTATTACTACACATTAGAGTAAATCATAATAATGAATAATAAACTTAACTCTTTGAAATCCAGACCCTTTGATAAAATGTATTCTCAAAATACCCGAACCGCCGAAATACTTTTTCACAATACTGTTTCACAGCAATTTTCTCCCCTCCCCGTCCATTAACACAGAAAATAGGTGTGAAGATTTCGAATGACATCCTTTGTAATTTCTAACAAAGATTCCATTAGCCTTTAACCCCGTTCTTTATAAAACTATTCTGAAAGTCAGACCAGCAAGTTTTTCTCGCTTTGTTATGATCACGACTTGCATTTTGTTTATTTCTGTTATTTTTATAGGAAGGAATAAATTGATTAAAAATAAATATAATCCTTAAATTTTTAACTGCACTTTTATTGCTGTTTAAAGCTTAAAAGCACACTGTACCACAAAAGAATCAGCAGCGAAATGTCACGAGCAAGCAAAAATAAGAAACTTCTTAGGACAAGCTGTCTGCAGTAAACTGATACAATGCATTTAAAGAAAATGCACCTGCTAGTGCATACCTTAGGAGGAAGGAAGAAAACAAGATTACAATCTCGGCCGTTTTCAGGCGGTTCGGGTTATTTCAATGTAGGGCCGTGTCAGGCGGATTGGTTGTGAAAGAGTTAAATCAAAAGATATTTAATTTGATTTTGAATTCAACGATCATACATTAAGTACAAAAACTTATTTCAATTTGAAATTTTCATATGTTCCTTAAAACTCCTTTTAGCTGTTTGACTGCAATTAATCTATCCTTAATTAGCTATCAAAATATGAAATTTTCTAACTGAAAATGCTAAACTTGATTTACTTCAGTATAAGAGATCGCCTAAAATGAAATTAAACCTTCTGATAAATCTAACAGTCTATTTTGCATCATCATCTGACTTCATTCAATCTTTTCAGAACTTTTCAGAGAATCAAAGATGAAGAAAATTTCCCTAGAAAAGATGTTTACTATAGGATCAGTGCCTTACATTTAACCCTCTGCCTGGCAAGGCCATAAGGAAGTATACATATGTGCTTCCTGAAATATATCTAAGAAATTATGGGAAAACATTAAAAGCACCAAGTCCAGGTGGCATTAAAATTAAAAGGGAAAAAAAACCTCTTCGTCATGACAATTTAAAAAATTGAGGGCTTATTTAACTGAAACTCCATCTCAGCAGAGAGCTAAGAGCATTCATTTCTGTATCATGATTTTAGCAGCACGAAGGTGTGTTACACTATACAGCAGCATATGGTCTTTTTATAAAGGGTACAAAAGATTTTGCCATATGTTGCAAATGAATTTTTTTTAAAAAAAAGAGAGAAAATTGCATATTGATATACTTTGAGAAATTTGATTGCAATTGAATTGCATCAACATGCAATCCAAGCATTTCACAGATAATTCTAAATGCACAAGAATGTTCTATTAAAGAAATAAGAACTTTTACATCAGTTCACTCAAGGCATATTATATGTTATGCATGCAACTGAGTACTATCAACCTGAAACATTTTTAACATTCCTTTTATATTTACAAAAAGTTACCGAGTTGCTGGAAATGTTCTTACCAAATTAAAAATTTCATGAAAATTTTCTTCACTGTACCATACTTGAACGTTTTGCTGTAATATTATAAAAACTGAGTATGAGGCATTCAGATTAAATGCATCCTTTAAGCTTTGATGCACCTTTAAGAGAGTCCTTTGTTCACAATTGTCTACACAGTATTGTAAAATTCAGAGTCAGGATTGATTAGCTGACTTGGCTGTTTAATACTATTTTTGGTAAGAGCATTGTGATAGAACACACAGCAAACTGCTTTTTTGCACACTTCTATAATGCCAATTTTGAGAACAGTTTTAAGCAGAGAATCAAAATAAATCACATATAGCCAGGACGCTTATTCTATGATCACTGGATCTGTCTACAACTTAAGCGAACAATATTGACTCAAAAAAACCGGTATAGACAGCCATCACAACTTATCGGAGAAAGCCATTCTGTGGTCCTCAGTTGGTGGGCGGGTGGGTCCATTAACTTTACTGGAAGGGGACAAGGCTTCAAGGAGCTTTAGACCAATCGCAGTACAGACCGAGTGACGAAATTTATAGCGCGCGCTGGGCTGAAGTTCTAGGAATATTCTCCTATATTTCACTAACTCACACGCTGCATTTGTAGTTCGAAAAAAATTGCACAAAACAGTATTATACATGACCAATATGCATTATGACGCAGCCGAATATGCTGCTGGGTTATGTGAAAGGAAAATCCTGTTTTTTAAGGGAAAGTTAACGCAGGAATTTAAAGCTAAAAAATAAAGAGTGATATGGGAGATACCACGAAAAAGCAATGGTAAATAGATAAGAGTAATGAATGAATTAAGCTTACTTCAAATCCTTTTAGAAATAAACAATTTTAATTATTTAAATTTATAATATACAATCTAATAGCAAACTAAGTTTTTTTTTTTTTTTTTTTTTCCCCATGTTTACATTAAAACTGTTTTCCCGCAATTTATTTTACAGTTACTATTTGAAAAATATTTCTTTAAATAAGAAATTAGAAAGAAAATATTTCTTCCCTTTTTATTTTCTTTTTCTATGAAAATTATTTCTTTCAGGAAAAGAAATAAAATTCATTCGCTATTACAGTATGGCCGATTGCTGCTGCATTCAGTATCAGACACGCATCAAAATGCTTTATTTTAAATAATTTATTCTATAATTAACATGAAAGAAATATTTTTTCAATATAAAATATATAACAAAAATTAAATTAATCTATCTTGTATGTGTGATTAATTCGTTTTGTAATTTTTGTCACACAATTACTAATATCTTTTTTCAATATTACATTGCTGTTATTTTAATTTTGTATATATATAAGAACTGCTCAGTTTAATTATTCTTCCTTCTCAAAAGATTTTGTTCTGTGAAAATAATTAAAAGATAGTAATATTTTCACAATGGAAGTACTAAAGTAAAAATAATCAGTGTGTAGGTCTCCTGCAGTTCAAGTTCCTTTTCAAACCAGCGTTTCGACACATTTTAAATAGAAAACTAATAATAATCAATATCTCTTTTACTATCAAAATGAGAATGCTATGAACAGTATTTTTATTATTTATTTATTTATTATTATTATTTTTTTTTAAGTTTGCAAAGAAACAATGATTTTTTAATACTATAATAGGTTACAAAAGTACTATTCCATGAACAAACCCTCAGTCTTATAGCATTGTTACTTTATAGCATAATACAATAATAATACAGTATAATTCTGCTAACAAGCCCACCAGCCGCCGAGCGGTAGAGTCGCTGAACGCAGGTAATTTGGTCCGAGGTTCAAATCCCGCGAA